TAACACACAAAAAATTAAATTGAAAAAGAAAAAAAAAAGGCAGAGATGTGATTTTGCTTACAGCTGCAGGACTCCGGCAATAGGGTTTTGAAAGACGTAATTTTAAAATGTGTTTGTATAGACTGTTTGTTTACCTTTCTTTAATAAAATAAAGAAATTTAAAAAAAAAGAAATAGATGTCTAATGAGAGGCACATTCTCACCTGATTTGCTCTTTCCAGGATATTAATCAAGTCAGTGGCAACTTTCCAGTCATTTCTGGTAAGAAGGGTAATTGACACACCAGTTCTCCTTTAAGGGCAGAAGGCAGAAAAAAGTCATGATATTTGTACTTATATTTCAGTTAGCAAAACGGCAGAATGGGGGGAGGAACTAACAAAATCACAATTCTCTCTTACAAACTCAAATATCTAGTATATATGAACCACTTTTAAATAAAAATAATCTGTAATTGTTTAAAACAGCACAAAAGCATATATAATACTTGTGTTCTTAGAAGAGGAGAAAAGTCCTCTTTATTGCACAACAGCTTAGGGAATTATTATTTTCTTAAATCATATTTATTTTATTTTATTATTTTGTGTGTGTGTACCAACAAATTGGATCTGACTGATACAGGGGGAGATTGCCCCTCCTTCTCCAGCAGAGCATCTAGTGGATTTGAACCACGTGACTAGGGAGGATAGAAGGAGAATTGACGCCTTTGAGCTGTGGTGCTGGAGAAGAGTATTGAATGTACCATGGACTGCCAAGAAAGCAAACAGATTCATCCTAGAGAGGGTTAAACCAGGCTGCTCCTTGGAGGCAAGGATTCTGGGGCTTCGTCTGACATACTTTGGACATGTTGTAAGGAGAGACAGGTCTTTGGAGAGGGACATCATGCTGGGCAGAGTAGAGGGACAGCGCAGGAGGGGAAGACCCTCTATGAGGTGGATTGATTCAGTGACTGGGGTAATCGGGATGGGTGTGTCAGAGGCAATGGGATTGGCACAGGATAGAACAGGGTTTAGGGCTGTTGTACATAGGGTCGCTATGAGTCGCAAATGACTCAACGGCCCATAACAACAACCTTTGGGATTGCAGTGCTGCTTCTTGCCACTAGGCCACCAGAGCTCCCCTAAAGAATTACTTTTTTAACAACATTCCGAATATTCACTAGGTACAGCTCTATATTGTGAGACTCAGGTTTGAGGCACTGAACACCAAATATCAAAGACCAGAGAAATTGTGAGGTGATGATGACATCAAGGGATCATCCATGAAGAGGGCAAAAGGGCATTACAAATAAGGAGGAAAAAGAAAAAAAACAATATGGATGTCAAAAGAGATTATGAAAATTGCTATAGAGCATTGAAAAGCCAAACAAAAGGAAGAGATACTGAAGTAAAAGGGCTAAACAGAAGATTTCAAAGAGGAGTTCAAGAAGATAAAGCAAAATATTACAACAAAATGTGCTAAGGGCTGGAGTCAGAAAATGAAAAGGGAAGAACTCACCTGGCATTTCTCAAACTGAGGGAACTGAAAAACAAATTTGAGTTACAAATAATGAAAGATGCTATAGGCACAATCTTGATCCAGGAAGCATCAAAAGAAGATGGAAGGAATATACAGAATCACTGTGTATTCCAAAACCAAAAGGAATTAGTTGACACTGAAAAATTTCAGGAAGTACCAAATGAACAAGAGCCAACGGTGATAAAAGTTCAACCTGCATTGAAAACACTGGCATAAAATAAGGCATCAGGAATCGATGGGATAGTAATTGACATGTTTCAACTAACAGATGCAGCCTTGAATGTTCTTACCAGTTTCTGCCAGGAAATTTGGAGGACATCTACCTGGTAGACTGACTGGAAAAAGATCCAAGTTTGTCTCTATTCCCAAAAAAGGTGATCCAACAGAATGTGGAAATTGTCTAAATAAAGTTCAACATCAAGAAAACAAAGATTGTCACCACTGGGCCAATTGGCAGCTTCATGATGAAGGGAGAACAGATTGAGATTGTTGATAACTTCAACTTCTTGGTTCTACAATCAACACTCTTAGAGTCAGTTGTCAGGAAATCAAAAGACAAATTGCATTGAGGAAGTGTGCTGTCAGGTACTCCTGGAGAGTACAGAAGAACAACAGTGTCAATGAAGAGACTAAGGTGAGCCTGATCCAGGCCATAGTCTTTGCAATTACTTTCTATGCATCTGAGAGCTGGACAATAATTAAGGATGACAGAAGAAGGATCAATGCCTTTGAGTTGTGGTGCTGGAAAAGAGTGTTGAATATACTGTGGAATGCTAGGAGTACAAGTTAGTCCTAGAGAAGATGAAACCATGGTGCTCCCTGGAGACAAGGATTTTTTTGGGGTTTTTTTTTTCTCGGTTTTTTTTTTCATTTTCTTCCTTTTTTTTGTTTCTTTTTCATCTCAATGAACATCTACAGAGATTTTGGAATTCCATTCCTTCATTGTTGCACCCTTCTCCCCGCACAAACCCCTCCCCGCCCCGTTTGCTTCTCTCCTTGCATCTCTTGGAGGATTCTTGGGCATGTGGCCAGGAGGGACCAGTCCTTGGAGAGGGATATCATGCTTGGAAGGGTGGGAGGGACATCACTGGAGAGGAAGATCTAGGATGAGATGGATTGACTCAGTAACTGCAAAAATGCAATTAGGTGTGTCAGAGATGATGATATTGGCTCAGAATAGTGCATGTTTCTGAGCTTATGTCGATTCAAAGGCATATAACAACAACAACATAATATCTCATGCATGCAAAATATTGTTGAAGATTATTTTTAAAATGGCTAGAATAGTACATTGACAAGGAACTACCAGAAGTTCAAGCTGATTTTAGAAGAAGCCATGACAACTGGGATATCACTGCTGTTAGATGGATCCAGGCTGAAAATAGAGAATACCAGAAAAAATGTCTATTTGTGTAAACAACATATGCTGGTAAGGTTGTGAAGAGACTGGAACCCTTATCCATTATTGGTGGAAGTGTAAAATGGTACAACCACTATGGAAGGCAGTATGGCGCTTTCTCAAAAAGTTGGATAAAGAAATATCATTTGACCCACTACTGGGAATATACCCTAAAGAAACCAGAACTGCCACCCAAGTAGATATATGCACACCCATGTTTATTGCTGCATTGTTCACAATAGCAAAGAGATGGAAGCAACCCAAGTGCCCATCAACAAATGAATGGATAGAGAAGGGCTGGTAAATTCACACAATGGAATATTACACAGCACTGAAAAACAAGGAACTAATAAAATATTACACAATATGGTTGACCCTGGAAGGCATTATGCTGAGTGAAATATCTCAGTCACAAAAAGACAAATGCTGCATTACACTACTGTTATAAAACAGGATTCACATGGGGTTTGAGGAAAACTAAGAAAAGAGGACATAAGTAAGGAACATTGCATTGGACAGATGAAGGGAAGAAATATATTAAATATGTGAAAGGAACAGATGAAAGAAATATATGATTAGGTGTTATTTATATGACAATAGTTCAGAATGAGAGGTACACAGCAATGAAAGAATCTTTTTAAAGAGAAAAGCAAATGGGGGTGGGGTAGGGAGGGAAATGAGCAACAATGAATGAATGGAATTTTTGTCAAAAAATCAATAAAAAATTTAAAAAGGAAAAAGGTAAAAAAAGAGGTATGTAAGAAAGTGGACTGGGTGGGGGAATGGAGGAAATTATGCAACAATGAATGAATTTTTTTTTAAAGTGAACAGGGACATGGTTGTTATTAGGTGCCATCAAGTCTCAGGTGACTCATAGTGACCCTATGAAGGAGAGTCCTTGACGCTTGGTTGCCTCTCATCCTCTCTTCAGATTCATAGGGTTCATAGGGTTTCCGGAGACAAGCTACTATGGAAGTGGATGCCACTACTCCTTCCAAGCTTGTTTTAATCGGGGAGCTCCACCCCACTCTTTGTCCACACTGGGTAACCAATCATTAATGTATTTGACACATCAGCGTCACAGTGTTCAGCCTCACAGCAACCACAAGTTAATGCTGTGCAGCAAGTGGACACACCAGGGCTATACGACCTAGAGGAATGTCTGAACAAAAACAATGAAAGACAGGCCCAAGGGAGGTAAGGAGGAAAATATACAAATAATGAATGAAAATCCAACTTTCCATAAACTTTCATTAAAATCACAATTAAAAATAAGAGTGCCTATTTGTGTTTTATTGACTATGTAAAGGGGTTTGACTATGTGGATCATAACAAATTATGACTGACACTGAAAAGCATAGGAATCCCAAAACAGTTAATTGTGTACATATGGAATCTTTACCTAGTCCAAGAGGCTATTGTCTAAAAGTAGCAAGGGAACACTGCGTTGTTTAAAATCAGGAAGGGTGTGCATCAGGGCTATATTATGTCTCCATACTTACTCAGCTGTACACTGAGCAAATCATTCGAGACTTGGATTCTACGAAGAAGAATGTGGCATCAGATCTAAGGAAGATTTCTCAACCTGTTTTATGCAAATCACACAACTTTGCTTGCTGAGAGTGATGAGGATATGAAACATTTGCTGCAGAGGATCAAGGCCTATAGCCTTCAGTATGGATTATGCCTCAATATCAAGAAAACAAGAGACCTCACCCACAGGCTCAATAGTCAACACTATGACAGATGAATAAAGGACTGAAGGTGTCAATGATATATTTCATCTTGGTTGGATCAACAATCAACACCCTCGGTATCAGCAGTCAGGAAATCAAGAGATGTATTGCACTGGGCGAGTCTGCTGTCAGAGACCACTCCAAAATGCTGAATAGCAATGAGGTAAGTTTAAAAACTAAGGTGCACCTGATTCAGGCCCATGGTCTTCTCAATTACCTGCTATAAGAAAGCAGAACAGTGAAGAAAAATGAGAGAAGAAGAATTGATGCCTTTGAGTTGTGGTGCTGGAGAAGAGTACTGAATATCCCACGGACATCCAAAGGAGCAAACAGATATATCTTGGAAAGGTGCAGCCAGAGTGCTCTATGGAGGCAAAGATGGTGAAGCTTCATCTTTCAAACTCTGAACATGTAATTAGGTGAGGGTATTCCTTGGAAAGGGACAACATGTTTGAAAAGATGAAGGGTCAGTGAAGGAGAAGGACGATCCCTAAGGAGAAGTATTAACACAGTTACAATGGGCTCAAGTGTGTCAGAGATGATGAAGATGGCACAGGCTAGGGCAGGCTTCAGGGTTCAGAGTCACTATGAGTTGTAGTAACAACAACAACAACAACAACAACAACATGTTGTTGTTGTTGTTGTTATGTGCTGTCAAGTCGCCTACGACTCATAGCGACCCTATGTACAACAGCCCTAAACTCCGCTCTGTCCTGTGCCAATCGCACTGTCTCTGACACTCCCATCCCAAT